GGGCCAAACAGACTTTTTTCCCTATTTTTCTTCTTCCTATTGATACCGAATATCATTCAGTTTTTACAACTGGTGAAATAATCATGTCACGGTATGCCAATTCCCAAATTGAACTGACACTGGGTCAACCGCATGCGTTCAACGCTACAAGCGGAGCTTTTATGACATGTGAACGCCTATAGTTAATGATTACCTATTTATGTGAAAAGAAGGAGATAAAAGGTATAGCTACAACCAGGGCAAATATCAAATGCAGAAACTCTTGCTCCTTCTCCTTGCGGCTTTCGTACCGCCTAATTGAAAAAAATGATGTAAAATATCACTTGAACTTTTTGACCCAGTAGCTGTCATGGACAAGAAGCCATTTGGGTACATAAATTTCGACACCTCACCAGGGCAATGCACCTAGTTCATGAAGCAGAAATCTCGCGAAGGAAATATTCATGTTCGATGGCTCGAACAAACGCTTCGCCTAGGAATTCCATTCCGAATTCAGCTAGATTTTTGCATGGAAACCTTGATGCTAGAGCAAACTTAATGTGTTCAACAATAGTCTGATTTCGTTGAGAGAGCACAACACAAAACTTCGAATCATTTTGACGCGCCTCACTTGAGCGTCACCGTACACGCCTTCCCTCTTTCTGTTGCTGAATATCTTGTATTAACATATTGCGTAGCCAATTTTTCCCCAAACAAACCTTGCTTCGTTGTACTTAAAAAAATCGCTAGCACTTTTTTGAAGTTGACTTGTCTCATTAGGCCAATGATTGTTTCTGGTGATACAATACTAGGTTGGTCCATAAGTCTTGCAACAAATTACCTTTAACTGTCAGGAGAATGTCGCAGTACCCGGAAAAGATCCCCGCGGCAACGGTTTGTCAACGTAAGCATTTCCACCTTTCGCAATTTCAACAATCGTCAGCTTCGTTTTCTCGGCTACTAGCTATGGATATTACACGCGAAAAGCTCTTCGCTGACACTGAATTACGAACACTGCTTGGAATGTTTCACAAGTCGCGTTACACTAGGGATTAGCCAGAAGATGAGGCGAGGGTTACCGGTGCTTCACTCTGCTTAGCGTTAGCTTTTTGATTTGAACATGATCCACACTCCCAGCACCCCGACTCTGCAATTCCTATATGACGCTGCTGAAAAGTATTCTGAATAGTATAACAATCATTTGCTTGAACAATTCTGAAGCGACAAGGATACAGCACTGAGGCATCTCTACAAAGACTTGTAAAGATCCGAGAATATAGAGTTTGGATTCCACATGCCCTAAGCCCTAATCAGCACCAAACACGATCTGACATCATAGTCATGTTCAAGTCGACTTACTATGGATTCTTTGATTGACCATCCATCACATTTGCCGAAGTATGAGGAGATGGTACAGTTGCTAAACAAATGAACAAGCGGTAGTCCAGCTCAAACGCTTCGGGAGATCTTACTGCTTAAGTTCAACCTCGTCCAAGTAGGGCCTTCTCGGATTTTTTGGTGGAACACGAGAGGAGTTGAGCTCTGGAAACCCCTACGTGTAGATGTCGCAGTCAACGCGAAAGTCAACTATCCACAGCTCGAATGCAACGCTTTTAATACGAAAGAAAAACAAGGCAAAGTTTGCTTTTGCATGACACCGTTGAACCACCTCTTGCTAAAAATAATCCAGAAAAAAATTGAGACTCTCGGACGGGGAGTTCTTCCGTAACCATCTTATAGCCCTGACCTCGTCGGCGTGTGAAGCGATGTCTACCTGCTTCCCTCTCTAGATCACCTCCTAGAGGAACAAATCTCGCCTTAACCATCATGACGTCAAAATCAGGCATTTGATCTTTCTTTGATCAGAACTCAGTGGACTTCTACAAGAGAGGCATCGATCGGCTTCTAGTGCGTTGGCAATAGGTTGTGGATATTGATGGTGTGTACCATACTGGATGAATGGCACACTCGGGCATATAATAAATATACTAAAGTCAAAATTCAGCCAGTTTGTTGCAAGACTTCGTAATATTTTGGTTGGCATAATTTTGATCCACTTGTATACCTTGGCATTTTCTGAGAGTTTCATTGCAGAGTTCTATGGATTTCATGCCAATGATTCTGCGGGAAACGCGTAATGAATTCTCATATTAGAAGAAAGATTAACCTTTTCAGAACAATAAACTGTACCTGAGAGAAAGACGTAGAAATGCTATGACAATTGCCTGTGTTTGCCTTTACACATACTGAATACGAATGTGATTTTAACGAGAATTGATTCGCAGCTAGTTCTTGTTGTATGCGCATTCCCCAATTGCCTAGGTATTATTGTATCGCGCAGGGGGAAATGAAAATTAAGAGGGCGCGAAGAAATACGCTCAAAGAAAAAAGAAAAAGAAAGAGCAGCAAAGAAGAGAAAAAAAAGCGTTGGATCGATAACTTATTATAGTGAAAATCATACAAATTATATTATCCTACTATATATAAGCGGCTAGCGTGTGTCTGTTGGTGTGTGTGTGTGTTTGACCGGAAATTCATAGCTCGAGTCACAGTAACGATAGCGCAGTGGTTCTTACATATGTTATAGGGGGTGGGATGGGGACACAAGTGGTACGTGATAGGAACTGATAACGACTGATAATAGCTGATAAGGGGCTAGAAAGCGAGCATCGCCAATTTCGTTTTGCCGTTCATATTGGTAAAAGCGTCTATACTTACAAGTGTTATGTGGGGCGGTCCCGGGACATTGGTGGTACATGATTGGAAGCGATAGCAACTGATAATGGCTGATAAGATGCGCTAGAACGCAAAAGTCGTCGATTCCGTTGCCTGGCTCGCGTTGACACCAGAGCAACCATACTTACAAGTGTTATGTGGGGTGGGACGGGGACATTGTTGGTGGGTGCCAGAAACTGATAACGATTGATAAGGGCCGATAAGGCGCGCCAGAACGCTGAAGTCGTCGATTCCGTTGCCTGGCTCGCGTTGACACCAGAGCAACCATATTTACAAGTGTTGTGTGGGGTGGGACGGGGACATTGTTGGTGGGTGCCAGAAACTGATAACGATTGATAAGGGCCGATAAGGCGCGCCAGAACGCTGAAGTCGTCGATTCCGTTGCCTGGCTCGCGTTGACACCAGAGCAACCATACTTACAAGTGTTATGTGGGGTGGGACGGGGACATTGTTGGTGGGTGCCAGAAACTGATAACGATTGATAAGTGGCTGATAAGGCGCGTCAGAACGCAAAAGTCGTCAATTCCGTTACGCAGCGTTGACACTAGAGCGTTCCTACTTACAAATTGTAGTAAGTCGTAGTAGTACAAACAAAGGTACGTGCACATTATTTCGATATATATCCAGCTTACTTAATAGAATTCGACTGCATAAATTTTAAAAAACAAGTCTTCAGCAAATGATAAGTTTCATTTCTGACTATTAAGAAAACCCAAACTCATTAAACCGCTAATCCTTTCGTGGTTCTAAATAATGATGAATGTAAATGAATGATAAGCATTAGCTCCTCACTTATGTAAATAGGCATATTTCGTTTTGATTTTGAGACTGACAGCAATCCTATTCACCGCTAAATTATCTTAATTCAAGAAAAATGCTGGATGTTTACAGTTGTGATCAATATATACTCGATATCGGTGAGTTGGGGTGGGGCGTGTGTCACCGGAAGTGACGTGCACTTGATAGAAACTATGTGGATAAGCTGCTTCCAACATACATCGCTGGCTATCAGCAAAGCATGCTGGCAACAGCTTATCCACGCACTTCTATCAAGTGCACGTCACTTCCGGTGACACACCCACCCCAACTTTCGGATATCGACTGTACAGTTCAGCTCAGACGTTATCACGCGTATTCTCGATGAGCTTCAGTGAAACTGTGGAGGGTCTAACACAGTCAATAGTGAGATGGTTAATGGAGTATCTCATGCTGATATTCCATGGGTCCTCCAATTTCGCTAAAGCCTGCCGTGTGATGCGCGCGATAGCGGGCGAAGCAAAACTGGTACGTTTTTACTGAACAATCACGTCAAAACAATTTTGGAACCACTAAAGCGGAAAGTAAGTAAAATTTGCCTTTTCATGGCCATAACACGTCATTTTGGTCGAACTTCCATTACTGTAACTCCCGATAAGTTGAACAGATCGAACATAATGAAACATTTTGTCGCATACAATTTTGCGTATTTGCAGCTCGAAATACACGGCTATCGGGCGATGGGAAGGCGACTGCAAAATCGCTCCCGCAGCCAAAAAAGCCAAAACGCGCGCTGTCGTCAACTTGTTAAACAGTGCCGATGCAGCGAAGGATAACCCCTCGGCGGTATTCGGGGCAAATGTCCTCAACGGAACTATTTTTGATGCTGAAAATCGAGGTGTGCGGGTCAATCACCGCACTTTCTAAATGCTTCTGCCAGATCAAATATGAATGAAATGAGTTTTATTATTTATGTCATGTTGACCTGTTGATCTGTCTGGTAGATGGTCCTTGGTGAAGGCGTTGAGCCCAGAGGTGACAGAAGGAGGGAGACGAGGTGGCGAAGCGGATGCGAAGGTCGGAGTCCTGTCGAGCGCTGGCGGAGATCTCCCCGTAGTAATCGTGTGGGAGCCTTAAGTACGAAGCATCAGATGAGTCAGTTACAGTATGCTCTCGCTGTCTCTCCCTCTCGGCGTACTCTCTCGAGCCAAATGGCTATTTCCAAGGGGTAATCCGCCCGGGGAGAGGAGCAGAAAGAATAAATTGTTAAAGAAGTTTACCAGTTTGACCACAATAACCTTGATAAGTAATTCCTCTACAGTTAGTGTATTTAATAACTCTCTCGCGCTCTTGCACTCTCTTACACATGCAATCGTTCATGATGGACTGTGCTACAGTTGGAACTGAAGAATCAGAAGGAGAGGCAATAACGTACTTGGGAAGATGATCGACCTAACTCGTGATTTCCGGGTGGGAAATGGAAACCGCAGTCACGACCGTGGTACTTGATTCCGCATTGAATTCACTTCCGGATCCCTACTGTTTCCCACGATTTTTAGAAACTGATAATGCCTGTTGATCAACGCAGCCTCACCGGCGACAACGACCATGTCGCAGAAGCGTGCCGTAGCGAAACGGTGAGCCACTCCAGGCTGAGTCAACTGGAACCGCTGTCAGCATTAACTAAACGATTAGAATGGAGCGTTCAAAGAAAGTGGAAACTGACATAGTTTTATTTGTCACGCGACCTCTGAGGGTGCGAACTGACGCGCAATTCGCATGGAAAAATTTGACCTCGGCCTATCATGCCTCAAAGCTGGCGGGTCCGGCGATCTCCGCCCACCGATCATCTGATCACTCGCCGTAGTTCAATACGTGGCGAGTGATTAGATAGCTGAGAGAGCGTAGTGTTGAAGAGGGCACAGCGATGAGAGTCGCATCAATGCTCAAATCAACGGGCAAGGAAGGGGTACCATTTCTCGGGTTCTGGGCCGTTTCTCATGGTTCTTCCTTCTTTCGTGTACCACTCTCCATCCCTAGGTTAATTTGAAATGGGTTGCTTTTCATCGTGAATTCTTCCTTTAAGTAAGCTACATTTCCACATTTGAAGTTTGACAATAATTTATTACAAAAAACAATTGGCATGCTCTAATGGTAACATAAAAGCATAAGGTGATTCACAAGACGACGTTAGGAAAGGAGAATGGTTAATAATAATATCACAATGTATTCAAATCTTTGGAACATCACAACGAGATGAATTTGTCACATGCAGATGAGCAGAGAACCGTAAGAGTGGTGTCATACTTTGCCATCTGGCGTTTTTTCGTGGAACAGATACGTATCGATCAAATATGCGATCGCGTGATCGAAGAATCGTATGGTCGATACCTATCTACTCCACACTTGAACTGCAAAGTACGACCCGATCCTCACGCGCACGTCTGCTTCTCTGCTCTCTGCCAAGCTTGTCACTGTGCGATTACAGAAATCAGTGAAAAGGAGGGTATAATTATATTTCAGCTGATATATGACCGTAAAGGCGTGAGAACGTCTACATTCGTTACGGCAAACAGTCAATTAATAACAGTCAGTAATCTGATTTTGAAACCTCGTTAAAGTTCCAGTGTCCGGAAAAGCAGACTAAGCAAAGCAACTGGCTTGATTATAACTGGTAAACTAACGGGATACAAAACATGTCAACATCTTCTACGGCTCATCATGGTTAGGAAGGGGACAGCTCTCAACAATATACAGGGGGAGGGGGAGGCCAAAAAAAGGAGTCACTCTCTTTACCTTCAGAACGGAGTAAATATTTACACTTTGTTGGATTCAAACCGAATGACTCAACTGCATATTGAAGAGCACATTCTATTCTATCAAAAATTCATAGCCTTCTACACCGACGACATCAGAAGATTTTCCCACGGAAACATGGTTCACGGTACGAGCTCAACGAGGTCGTCGAGGTACCATAGACCATTACGACGTCTCTGAAACGCTGGTCAAAAGCGGTCTTGCATAGCAGAGCTAGTCTCTAGGAAGCTATTCACAGTTACCGATTGAAGAAATTTATGTAGCAGCTTCAGGCTGGAGCGATTACGGTAGGCCTCCTTGAGCTCGACGGTGATGGCAGATGACGTCATATTCTGAAGACGGTGAGGGCAGCGAAGGAGGGCCTGCTTCTTCACTTATGGGGGGACATCTAAGAATATTTTTCTTTTTCGTGAAATTCCATCATAAGCTGGTTATCCTGCGCCACGAAGTGTTGGTGATGTGTACCGAGCAGAGGACTTTTTTTGCCTACCCACTCACGTATTCATCAGGTTGACAGCAATTACCTTGAGAATAACGCCCCTGAACAGGCCACTCCGAAATGCGCCGCGCATGCGTAGAGAACAAGAAAACTGGTCCAACTTATACTTAACTTATTGTAGAGCAAACCGCACGAATACAGTGCGCCACCACAACTTATTAGACCTGTCAACCGTCCACCATTTGAAACAAGGGGGCAGCGCATTTTGGGGTTGAGCAAGGTTATCCTAGTGGGAAGGGGAAGGAGGTCGTTAAACTGGGTTGTGTTTGGACGATTCCTTTTTTGACAAAGATGGCGAAAGTAGGCGCCAAAATTGGTGGACTTTGCCACTTCGTGACCCCACCCCCTTCCTTCCCCCGCTCGACGGTTTGGAGGAAGAGTAGACGGGGCTTTAGTGTTTCGACTGGCGTCTCGGAATCAATGACTAAGATGGTGAGGAGGTGGTCGGTTGAAGGATAAGATATATCGTTTGAGAAGCATTCTATCATTTACGACTGACGGTAGTGGTGAGGGGGAGGAGAGAGGAGGGGGGGGTGAGGCGCATCGAGACCCTAAAAAGGCAGGTTGCAATTTTTTCCAAACGAGTCAAAGTGGTTGTGATAACCTTTACAATATGTTCATTTTATTTTAATGACATCTAGCTTTGGTGTGTCGGTTCTGTCTGTTAAGTGGCGCGTTTAAGACTTTGCGATATGGAGCGATTTTGCCCCAATTGCAGTGAGCGACGGATCGCTCAAAGTGCGAGCGACGGAGATTTCCCCCGCCGACGACCGATACACACGGCGCCGCTCGGGTTAAATCTCCCGCCGCTCGCACTTTGGAGCGATCCGTCGCTCCTGCAATTGGTGCAAAATCGCTCCATTCGCAAAGCCTGACATCGGCCAGTAGCAGCTGGAGAGCATTGAAGGGAGGAAGGGAGGATGGGGAGGAGAGCGGATCTACCGTCACGACTTAGTTATGGCGCCTCTCTACTATGTAAGCTATTTTTTTTGCTGCATCCGCGTCATTTCCACAAGATGTTGGTCTGTCCCGAGCGGAAGAACCAAAGCGGAGACGTGAAGTTTTAGTTGGAAAGAGGAGAGGTTCCGCCAGTTGACGCGGGACCAATCCAATATACTCATATCGTTCCACAAATTTCGCATCTGGTGAGGTCAGTGCCCGTTGCAGGCGTTTCACGTTTTTCAAAAAAGAGGAATCTGATGGCTGTCAGGGGTAAGAACAGGTTGTATACATTAGACAGGTGAAGCAGCTCTTAATAATAAGATAGCAGTAAAGGTGCACATTATGCTAGTTTCACCTTCTTTAGGATGATAGAAAGGAAGATTAGAGATTTTTAGCGAAAGCTAAGGAGCAATGAGTTGCGAATGGCAATCGCAGTAGATCGGACAGCAGTGTGATTGACCAGCGAGGTGCAGCTCGTTAACTCTTTGGAAGCACCTTCCTTGCCTCTTCGGCCTGTCGTCTGTCATCTTCCGTCAGCGTATGACATCTTATGAGTATCAGCTCTTCCATCCTTCTGAACATCTTCCACATATCCGCAGCGTTCTCCTAAAAAAATCGCCAAACTAACAGGCTTGTTGAAAAGCAGTGATGAGCAACGGTGAAGAATGGCACCTCTTGCTCAACTAATCCTTTTCCAGATTGGATTTACCTCCAAACTACTTGAAATAGCATAGCAACTCAAAACTTGCCTGTGTGACCATAGGCCCATAATCCTCTTCTTGGCAATTATGATAGAAAGCGCCCGATGTCATCTCATCATTAGGCGTCACAGCACAGTGTACGATGGACTCTATGCCCTAAACTTAAATATACTCAAGAAGCACTTCAAAATAGAGGACAAAGCATCCAGCGATGATCACACTTTTAGGATTTGCCACAGATTCCGCTTCTATTCAAAACTGCAGAAACTTTTGAACACGGTGAGGGTTATACAAATGCGGAGAGTGTCGGCCTTCTTATCCTCCCAAACAGATTTCCAATTAATGATTTCACAGAGATAGAAGACTTTATCGATCTGGGAACAGTTCGACGTAGAACTTGACCCCGGACCGGGCGCCTGGTTGACGGCACCTTTTTCCACTACACCACCGCCGCCCCGTAGTAATTCACCTTAAGAGGGATTCCACGATAAGGACGAAGGTCGAAGAACGGGAAACTTACCTAGTGGAGAAACAGGCGAACCTCCTATGGATGCGGACCGACACGCAATTCTCATTGAAGGATATGCTCCGGCGATCTAGCGTGGCCTTCCCCGCGGCGCTATCGACGCAGTTTGTCTCCGTCTCGCTGTCGGAGTCTCTAGCCGCTCAGCAGAGAGAGCGTGGGCGTTCAGGAGGGCAGCACCGATGAGGTCGCACCAATGCGCAAATCATTTCTTATGTTCTATGCCATTCTTCCAGTTTTGTTCTCTTTTTCGTACATCACTGACCATCTGTAACCTAATTTCCAATGAATTGCCTTTTCATCGTGAAAATCCGCCTTTGAGAAGTGAAAGCAGACCCCATCGATAACTTGAAAAGCACGGAGATGATTAAGAGAAGCTAACCTGATCCAAATTTTTCGAAACCATCCAGATGACTGGTGCTGCCAATGATCGCAGAAGCCAGTGAGTTTCACGACCCAGCTCAGTTCCTCCAACAAACCCGGGACGAATGGCATAGACCTTTGTTGAGCAGCGATTTGCCGTTAAACGCCTGAGTATGGAGACTTTACAGTCAAGATAGTGGATTAAGGAAATACCCTAGTCCTCGAAATCAATATAAAAAAACCTAAACAAAATTCCCGTTATACGTGATAACAGTGGGATGAGCACTAAGATACCGTAATCCAAAAGTAGTAAAAGATATAAATTCGTACTTAGCCAACTCTACTGCATGTAGGCAGTT